ACTACTACTACTACTACTACTACTACTACTACTACTACTACTACTAACTACTAACTACTACTACTACTACTACTACTACTCTCTCTCTACTACTACTACTACTACTACTACTACTACTACTACTACTACTACTACTCTCTCTCTCTCTCTCTCTCTCTCTCTCTCTCTCTCTCTCTCTCTCTCTCTCTCTCTCTCTCGTAATGCGGTGGACCGAAATGTTTTTGCAGCCCGACACAAAAAAGTGCTTGACTGCAAATATTTGTGTCCGGCCGCAAAAAAATTCAATCTGACACCCAATGTATCGGACTGCATTGAGTTCCAATAACGTGGTTTGTAATGCAATCTGACACCCAGTGTACCAAACCAATTAGAATTTGAGTTAAGGCTGGTAATACGATTCGGCATACTTTGTACCGGACCAAAAGTTTGCCGCACTGCAAGAAAATTTCGGTCCGACACCCTATGTGCCAAACTGTATTAGCAAAGAGAGAAAGAGAGAGACAGAGAGAGAGAGAAAGAGGGGAGAGAATGATAAAGAGAGCAAATAAGTTTTTACTTTCAGGGAGAGTAATGGGACCTAAAATAGAGGGGGAAGAGAGAGAGTAAAGGCACTTTTGTCCTAAATCCATTGGCTTTTTTATTAGAAGATGGAGGTAATATAAAGAAGAATAATATTGAGGTATTGAGATTTTGGGTGGGATACAGGTAAGAGGTTTAGAAAGTTGAATTTGAGAGGGTATCTATTTGCAGTTATCTCCATGCCATCAATGGATTGGACGATATTGGAGGAACTGAGTCCCCCTGGACAATTTAAACTAATTACCTATACAGCCTACTTTCTCTCAGCCAACCAATTGATTGGACCCTGATAAGTCCAATGGTCAGGTTGTTAACACCGCATGGATTATGTTTATATTTTCCCATATATTTCTCCACTTTCAGTCAATAAATAAATAAAGAATTACATACGAAACTACAGCGAGCAATGAGCCTAAAATGAAGAATGTTCATGATCTCACTTGTACACCTGAAAATAGTTGGACACGAGAGATTTATGCCTGAATGAAATATCTAGCAACTGATATAGAGGTAGAGTAAGGAATTACATACTAAGTATCTTTGCTTCAAGCGGTGTAGGAGGTCCTCAGGGTCACGCTTGGTCTGTGTGTAGGCATCCAGTTTATTTATCTCCTACATGCCAAACACCAACCTCTTTAAACACCACAACAATCAATTAAGACGATGATCGCATGGCAGTATAGATTGCATAAAATGTAGATAATCTCATGGCAATATGGTTTGCATAAAATGTGGAAAATATAACCTCTCTCTCTCTCTCTCTCTCTCTCTCTCTCTCTCTACACTACTACACTACTACTACCTACTACCTACTACCTACTACCTACTACTACTACTACTACTACTACTACGTACGTACTA